AGGTTATTCTCTCTCTCTTTGTCCTTTTTCGATCCGAATAAAGGGAACCGTTTACTTGCTTTCCTTTATGCTCTGCAAACCGTAGACTGTAGACTGTAGAACTTCCTTCATTGACCTACCAATCTTCAACTGGGGACCTCCATGGAACATCAACATCAGTCAACGAGCTAGAAAGGCAACTTTATTTTACTATTCCTTCTATGCTCTCTCGATGCATCTGCGCACACATCCATACAAGTTTTGCAGGACAGAAGGACAGTAACCAAATCGAAACTTTGGTGACTTCACCTTTTTCTTTTTCTCTGTGTTACGGAAAAGTAAAAGTATAATCCCAACATAGATTGCCTGCCTCTTGGAACATCGATGGACTCTGTCCAGTTTGGTAGCCCCAAGTTCTTCCGGAAAACTACAACCAAAATTTATTAACAGGGTTTCAATGTTGAACATTCCTGCCCCCTTCAAGCAGAGACAGGGGTTTTTTTCCGTGGAAGTAGAAATCCTTGTTGTTGTCGACTGCTGCTTAAAAGCTAACATCTTATTTAATGCACTAACGTAGGCTTTAACACTAGAAACAACAATGTCCATTCCTGCCCCGGAGCCACTGCAGAGAAGAAGAAGTAGAAAGAGGGTTTGGTTAGCGAATATGAAGTCGTAAAACAGATGCATCAATAGGCAAGTGCTATGATACCTAAATGTTCGTTTAAGTGGTTCGCCTGTTAAAACATGGGTGGGTGTAGGCTATCGCATCAATGCCTTCTGTAACAGCATTCATGGAGTACTCGAGAAGTGTTGCTGGTTCCTGTAAGAATCAAATACAAGGGCACCAATTTTTCAACATAAAATCGAAAATTCTGGCTATGTAGAGTGGTTGTTGTGTATATCAAACCTTCACAATGAGATCAACAGCCTTGTCGGCTGAATCTACTGGCCCAGTTCCAACAAAACATGCAACATGTTCTTCCCCATCAGTATAATTATACAAAAGAAAAATGAAGGGACAGAAAAAATGGCCATTGGTGAGAGGCAAGTGAACGAAGAGCAGCTTCTATAAACAAATGCTTCAAGAACTTGTATAAAAGCAGGAAAAAAAACCTAAAGACCATTCATAGGAAACCAAGACTAGGGAGGAATGGGGAAGTGATACAAGTTGAGCCACAACAAATGGATTTGTCTGCGTCTATGGACAATATGAATTTTTCAAGACATTAATGATGGAGCATGTAATTTGGACAGTCTCAACAAACGAATCTAAGGAAGCATTTCCTCATGTCAGTCTTCCTTAGAAGGTCAGCAATTCTCAGGCAATCCAAGAGAAATCACTCAAGGTTGAAATCTTTATTCTCACAAGCACTATATAAAACTTCTTTTCTCAAGGACAGGGAAAACTATTTTAAGGGAAATTGAAGTGAGATTTTCATCAACTAAATGAGTGATGAAAGCCTTTGCAATCATGCAAACAAAGAATAGAAAGAAAAACATTTACTTCCTCCAATGAAGCATTTCCTGCTCTTTCACCAATGCCATTGATTGTCACTTCTACTTCTCTAGCGCCTGCACATGCCCCTGAATTTATTAAAAGCTAAAATGTGACTGATTCAATTATATTTCAACAGAGATTAAATAAAATAGAAAAAGGCGTTGGCATACTGCTAAAGTGTTGGCTGTAGAAAGCCCAAGATCATTGTGACAATGTGTTGAAATAATGACATTTTCAATTCCATGAGTATTCGCTTTTATATCGGCAATCAATTGTCCAAACTCACTAGGTATAGTTATACCGACAGTGTCAGGTATACTCATAGTTGTTGTCCCAGCTTTGATAACTTCACCCAATATATGATATAAAAACTCCTTCTCCAATCTGGTTCAGGATCAAAAGTACAAAATAACATACCATCAGACTAACAAAATGCAAATGATCAGCACATATCATTTCTAACAAGCTCATAATGCTTCTTTAAAGACACTAACATTCGGATCAAGCAATCAGAAACAATTAAGAAACAACTAGCTCTATGATAAAATTTATTGACTGAAATTTCTAAGACAAGAACAAGCATAGATGACAACATTGTCTAAATTAATTACTTTGCATCCATTCGCTAACCAATGGATTTCAAATCTAAGAATTAGAAATTTCTTACCATAAAGACCATAAAGACTAGCTTTCGACCCCGAATTCCTGGTCATTAGATCATTCAATGACCAAAAAACACGTCTTTGTGCGACAGCATGCACTCCATAAATAAACCCAAAAAACCAATGCCTTCAAAAACAGTGGCTATGCTTCAATCACACTCAATGACTTATAAATACTGTTCCATAAACCCCAAGAATCAATATCAGCAATTGAGTTACTAACATCAAGAACAGACTAATTGAAAACAGAAACAAATAAGACCAAAATCCAAAAATACTAACCTGCCAGCATCTACGGGGCTAAACTCAACATCATCACACCCCAAACTCCTAGCAAACCTAACCATACTTCTTGCAATTTCCACAACCTCTTCTTTACTCTTCTTCAACTTATACTCCATATGAATTCCACTCGTCGCAATAAACGTATGAATCCTCGGTCTTTTCGCATACCTAACCGCTTCCCAGGCTGCCCTAATATCCTTCTCATTACACCTAGACAAGCCACAAATAACAGGAACATATCCTTCACTATCGACATTATTTCCCACTTCATTAGCAATCATTTTAACCGCTTCGAAATCCTCTTTCGAAGCTGCAGGGAACCCTGCCTCGATTATGTCAACTCCAAGTTTGGCCAGTTGGCGGGCAATGTCGAGCTTTTCTTTGGAAGTTAACGTTGCTCCAAGGGATTGTTCGCCGTCACGAAGAGTGGTGTCCAAAATGCGAATATAATTGGGGTATGGGATTTTGTTGGGGATGTAGTTGGGCCGGTGGAGAGGGGAGGAGAGGGAGGAGCAGGAGATTAGTTTGGTTTTGAGGAGGGAAGTGGAGGGGAAGGAAATGGAGGGATTTAAAGAGAGTTTTGTTGGGTTTGAGGAGAGAAGGAATCTATTGGGTTTGGTGGTGGGGATTTGGGAGATGGAGAGTTTTGGGGTTGTGGAGATCGAAGCCATGGGAGAGCGAAGCCCTAGAGAGGATGAACTGGCGGGAATGGAACTCTAGGCTACGGGGAAAAGGTTGGCAAACTTTCAAAATACCGAACTCTTGGCAGGATTTAACTGCTGTTGTTACGATTAAGTTAACCGCTTACCCTTCCAATTTATTTACTCCTCAGGTCCATCTTTATAGAAAATAGAGCACCGAACCAAAGGCTGGTTTCTCATTTTGTTTTGTGAACTATGACGTAATGGGAATCAGAATTTTCTCTAGGCTATGGAATTTATGTTTATTGAGGTTATAATTTTTAAAATTGATTTAAATTGCTTTTTATTTTTTTATTTAAGTAAAAGTTATAAGTATGTTTGATTGTAAATAATTTTTTAATAAAATAAAATTTTGTTATGAAATTGTGTCAAACTTTTGTTTCAATTAAAAATTCTTTTTTTTTTTTTTTACTTTTGACATGTGAATTCCTTCCAACTTATATTATATTATTTTTTTTTCTAAAATGTTATCTTTTTTTAAAAAAATTGAGTCATTTTTTATTAAATATAATTTTAATTTTAAGTTTATTTTAACTCATTTTTATCGTAAGTTGTTTATTGAATAAACATTTTTTTTAATTATGATTTAAAGTCAAAAATTACTTTTCATAATTCACACTGAATATATCCTTAATATACTTGTTTTTAATTATTTTTTTTCCTTTTATTGCTTGCAAAATGCGTCAAATCTTTTTAAAAAATTTAGTTATTTAAAACCGATATCTGAATTTAAAAAATCATAATTGATTTCGTATAACTTTGACTCGTTTAAAATTAGATTTTTTTATTTGATTTGATGGGATTTTTTCAATAATTAATGCTTAAAAATCACCGATTGTTTTTTTATTGTTGAAATTTGATCGAATAGTAAATCATTGATTCCAATAATAAAACAGCAATTGATAATTTTTTAGTCATTAATTAATAAACAAAACTTTACAAAACTTAACAAAACGATCTAATTTTATATAGTTCAAAGTTATAAAGATCAATTTCAACTGTTTTTTTTTATAAAAAAGTGTTTTTGATAATTTTTCATGATTTTCTTTTTAATCGCAATTGATTCTCCAAAGCATTCAAAGATTTTAAATAAAGTTTTTATTTTATTTTATTGTGTTTATTTGCAGAGAATTTTATAGCAAATAGAAAACTTATCTATTTTTTTAAAGGAACTGAAAAAAAAAAAACGCTAAAATGTTATTTTCTAAAAATCTCTAAAATTGCCACCCGTCTCGATTGAGGTTCAAAGAAAACGAAGGGCTATAAGGGATATTTAATTATTTATGTACAATATAAAATTAATGTACGGTATACTTTTTAAGTAACATATTACTGAATAATTAATTAAATTATAAAATAATTACATACTTTTTAAGTAACATATTACTGAACATGTATGTATTTTTTTATTACTGACAAAGAAAAATAGCTTTTGAAATTCAAATAAAATTAAGAAAATAAAAAAAATTATTACCAAAAAATCGGAATACAGAGAATTACCGGTGCCGTAGAACCATCCGATTAGTTCAATATTCTTATCCTTTTATTTTATTTTATTTTTTATTATATAAAAATACTATCTGGATGGAAAGTGTTTTGGGCCCGTTTATTATCGGAAAGATGACATCGGGCCCATCGATATGACAGCCCATTAAGTAGTCTTACTTTCTAAAATACTTGTCGTTTAAATCTCATCGGCACAAAACCCCTCTCTCTATAAACCCCAGCCTCTCTCTCTATCGAGAAGGAAAAAAAAAAAAAACTCTCTAAAATACTTAAGAACCAGAGCTTTTGAATCCTCTCAATCTCTCTCTAAAATTCCTGAGAAACCAAATTTTTCGTTCTTTTTCTGGCTTGGACAAAGCAGGATCCAAGATGGTTGATGATACATCAGTTGGGTCCAAAAGAAGAATCACAGAGATTGAAGAAGAACCTCTTCTTCAACAAGTAGAAGAAGAAGACCATTCTTGTTGTTCTCTCTCTACGGTCTCTCCTCACGGGGATTCCAAAGAATCATCTTTGGTGATTCTTTCACCTACAAAAGCAGACCAAGAAGAAGCCAATAATCAAGACAATCCAAGTCCAAATTCTTTCAAGAAGGTAAAGTGCTCCTCTTTAACTGAATCTGAGACTAGTTTTGGAGAGAAAAAAGAACTGGGTTTTGAAGAAAATGATGTAAAGTTTGATTCTTTGATTGAAAAGAATGTTTCTTATTGTGAATTGGTTTCTGATTCTTTTGAAAGTGAGGAGTTTGATAAAAAGATTGTCAGTTCCAGTATGAAAGTGCAAGAAGCTGAGAATTATGTGGACGGTGGATTAAAGAAAGGCGAGATTGAATGGAGAGTTGATGATGTGAAAGAAGTGAAAGAGAAGGGGGAAGATGTGGGAAGTGAGTATTTTGAGGCTGAGATGGGTTTAGGTACTGGTGATAATAAACAGGTTGTGACGGTGAAAGAAATTGGAGGAGAAAGTTTATTGGAAGCAAAGAAGAAGCAATTGCTGGAAGAACTTGAAGTTAGTTCAATCTTTAAGAACCAAACCAATGTGCTTAATAATGTTGATGGTTTTGAAACTGATGTAGGAATCTCGGGGAGTGTCAAAGGATTTGATGAATCTGTTAGACGTTCATTGAAGATTGAAGTTATTGACGATACAGTGTTGATTGAACCTGTTTCGGTAACCAAAACTGGTAATGGTGGTGTTAATGGTGCCGAGATAAAGAAGAATGGGAAACAGGAAACTGATGGAAAAAAGGCGAAAAGGCTAAGGAGAAGGGGAAGGGTTGCAACAAAGGGTTTGGAGACAAGTGATGGGCAAAAGAAAGTGACCCAAGGTGGTGAGGCTCAAAATAGAACAATCCATGCTGGTGAAATTCGAAATGGCTGCGAAAGAGATGGGGATCAGATGAAGAGGAAGTACTCGAGGGTAGAAATAGAGGCCCTGAGGTTTGTAAATATTGTAGAACAGCGAAAATTGTGGAGAAATATATACATTGGACTTGGAGAAGATGTTGTGAAGGGGTATAAAGACTTGGCAAGGTCAAAGCATCAGAAAAACGATTGCTTGAACTTCAATCCTTGGGAGCGTTTTGGAAGGAAGGAACCTGGCATTCTTGGTAATTGTTCTTCTTTTTCTACTTCTTCTTTCCGTGTTTTAATACCACAATTTTTAAATTATTTGTGCATCTTGGATTGCACTTATGATTTGTTAATATATTTGATTCTTGCTTCATGTGATGTTATTATTTAGAAGAGGCATTGGCATCTCTTTGACCTATATAATTGAATGCCATGATCACTATGTAAAAGGCGTACTGCTATGGCGTGCTATTTTGATGAAATAGGAATAACTTAACACACTCTTATTATTACGAACTCTGCTAAGTGCATTGATTCTTTCTGTTTCACTTTTCAGTTTAAACTTCACTGGATCATTTTCAATAGATTGTATGAAAAGTATTGGAGTCTACCCGAACCTAAGATGATCTATTTTTGGATGGGTAAGATTGGGGCAAAGGTAAAAAAAAATCATAGTTAAGCAGAAAAAGCTTGTAAAAAGTCAAACTCTTGCGTGCTTGTCCAAGAATAGGTCTCCATTGACTTTCTGATAACTTGATCTAGGATATAGGTAGTGTTATCATCACTGTAACTAAGTAGTTGGTTTGAGTCAACCTCAGTAGGACATGCAAACAGTGGAGCATTTATTTAGTGCAGATGAAATGCCAAGCACCTGATTTGAAGCACAGATAGTGGTTCCATTTGGTTCTGCAGATGATGCTTTAACAAAATGCCTGAAACTTTGAGTTTTAAATTGCTGCCTTTTGTGCGACTTCTGTTACTAAAACCTGGTTTTTCCTTTTGTTTCCATTGGGCCCTAATGTTATTTTAACCCTGTGATTGCTTCAAACTTGTTCTATTGTGTTTCCTGTTTGATTACCGAACTCAAAAAATGTACTCTTGATGATCATGTTGGTTTCCCTTTTTCTTAATGATCCAAACATCAAAACTCTTGGTGCTTGTGTTTGTTTTTCTTCTTTTGAATGGCAGTTCCTTTTGTTGTTTGCTTTGAATTCAGCTGCTCTGATTTACACTTCTTTTGTTTTTTTTTATTCATCCCGTTTTCTTTTCTCAATTTTTTTTAAATTCTGTTGTATTTTTTTCTTTCTAATTTTCACACTCTCATTTTCTCAACTAGTTTGGAATTGAGGTTTTGTTGTTGTTTTTGTTCCCACTCCCCACTTTTTCTACATTTTTGGTTTTTGGCTCCTTTTGTTTGAAAATAAAACTGGTAAATTCATCATAAAGACCTCGAAATCCAATGAAATGCTTTCTTTTGTCCATCCCTTCCCTCTGAATTCAGCTCTTATTTTGTCAATTTGATTGGTTCATTTTCTGCTTGGGCAGGTGACGTTGCTGCAAGGGGAAGATGGAACCATTTGAATGTATTTGCACATTGAAGAATAGCCTAAAGGAATCTTGCTAATGTCCTTTTGTGCAACATATCCACACATATCTGTCGAACTTTTAGGCTAATAATTGCTGTGTGTATGCTACTTGCATATAGTCATTGTACGTAGAAATTCTTTCTGTTGGCTAGCCTAGATCTTTTGGGAGCCAAGTGTCATCATACAATAGGGTCTGTTGCATTCTTTTGTAACCAAAAACTAATAAAGAGATGCTACCCGCTACTTTTTGGTGAATGAACAGAATGTTGTGCCTGTTACAGTTATTTCCACATATCATCTTTTTTGTTTCTCTGTGGCTGAAATACCTTTGTATATTTATTTATTTATTTTGGGATCAAGATTACCATTGTTTTAAGAAATGTTTGAGGGACTCTAAATTTATGAGATTAATCTCAGGGGAAGAATCTTCTGAAAATGTGGATGGTGGATTAGAAAACATGGAAGGAGATGGTGTACAAAATGTGGATCTCTTGAATCCTGGTTGCAGTAGCAGTATTCAAGGTGAAGGTGCCGACGCAGTTTTGGAGGAAGAGTATGGTGAAGAAGATGACAGTGACAATGATTATGCTAGCATACAGAGACCTGCTTTTGTCGTAGAAGGAGAACCAGATTTTGATTCTGGACCCCCAGAGGATGGATTAGAATTTCTTAGGCGTGTCAGGTACTATTCAATAACCTACTTTTTTTTTCTTTCCCAATTATCGATGCTATTGTTAAAATCAGAAGAATGACTGCTGTCTGTCAAGAGGGAAGTCTGATGAAAACCTTGAAGTTCTAACATAGTTTATCAGACTGAACATAAAATTGTAATCTTGGCATCAAACTGATATTTCTTTCTTCTTCTGTTTAGGTGGGAGGCTGCTCACATTCCAAAAGTAAAAGTAGCCAAGCTTGATAGGAGTAGAATTAACAAAGAACAAACTGTTTATATGCCCCAGATTCCTGACATTGCCAAGTGTCCAGAATATTTATTGCCGTCAAAGCAGTGGGAGGATGCATTTCTTATTGATTTTTCAGAGCTGCGACTGGTATGGTTTTGGTGTTAATATGCTTTGTGTTTATGTGGTATTTTTATTGGCTTAACAACTCTATTTGTCTGTTTTAGCTGAAAATGGGGGAAAGTTCACCTCTCTTTAAAATGAACCTGTATCTCTGTTTCTTGAAGAATTGCCGAAAAGATTTTCTGAAGTTGCTTGTGTAAAAATGTTGCATGTTTAATTGATGTGAGAGATATACAACATTGGATCCTTTTTTTTTTTTTTTTTTAACTGTGCCTTCAAAAATGAAAGAGTGCTGATTTTTTCTTGACGGAAGATTTGTGACTTTAGAGAAGGAGAACTGTATAGTATTCATTTGGGCATATAGTAGGAAAAACTTGAGGTTAGCTTGATAGTTGGGAACCCAAAGGTGATATATTAAGGTCCTTAAGAATCCTGTCTGCTAGGTCATAAAAATATAACAAGAATAATAGAAAATATAGCATTAATGTAGAGAACTGACTTTGTTTTCTTTCACTGAATTTCAGTTTTTGTCTCAAAATGACGGTTCGAGCTCTAAAATTTCCCAGAAGATGCAACCAGCAGCTACTGTTCACAGGAGTTCCTCCTCTCTGCTTGCTGAAAGTATCATTGTTGAAAAATTCAATAACCTTAGGACTGATGAAGTCCAGTCCTGCAAACCTTGTAATACTTCCAGCGCTGAGAACACCGTTGATCACCTATGCATGGTGAATATTGAAAATTGTAAAAGCCTAACACTTTCTCAGAATCCAACTCCTGAAGCTTCTTCTTGTATAGCTTTATGCGACTACCCTACCTTATCTGAGATTTTAGCTATGGAATGTGTTGCTCGAGTTCGGATGCTGAGGCAGCGCATAAAATTGGCAGAAACCATGGACGTGCTGTCAAAGAAAGATTGCGTGTGGCTATTTGCCTTATGTGCAGCGGTTGATGTTCCACTAGATGCTGACACATGTGCTGCTCTTCGGGGTCTGCTCCGGAAATGCGCTAGCTTGCGAGCTAGCAAATCTGAACTTGATGATGAGGTTATTATGCTGAATATTCTTGCCACAATTTCAGGCAGGTATTTTGGACAGTCCGAAAGCTGAAGCTTCTCAGTCCAACTAAACTATGTGAATTTCAAGGAGTGCATTTATTTTCTTGTATTTGAGTGTTTTATTTCTTGCAAACACAGCAAGTTGCTTATATTTTTGAATCTGTACCGAAAATTACTTCCTTTTGTTCGGAGGCAAAGTTAATGTTTTAGAAATTTGGGGCTGCTTAATTCGCTATTTATTTTTCTCTGTTATAATCTCCAGCACTAAAACTGCAAACAGAGCTTGGGTCAGATGGCTGATCCCATCCCCATTATCTCAAGAGCTTGGTCCAAGCTTGCTCCATTACAAGCATTGGAAAAAGGATGTCAAAAAAGGGGTACCTCCAAGATTGATTCTAACAAGAGTATTAATCATTGCTGTATTTTTTTCTCCCCACTTATATTAACATCATTTGATTTTCTTGAGGTAGGTTTTGTGAATTTTGAAAGTGAAATCATTTTCCTTGAGAAAACCATTCTTCTATTATCTAATGCTTTCTCACCATTATGCTTAAATTTTGTAAAAATATATATATTTTTTATAAATTATGTTTTATAATAGGACCGAAAATTAAAGTATATTGGTTTAGATCTATGAGTAATCATTTCATTTCCATGAAAAAAAAAATTAAATTCGAAAACTCCCGCCCATTTTGGCCCCTCAGAATCTCTCTGCTTTTAGAATAGCTGATGCACCAACATACCGATCAACAAAAGTGCCAAAAGTGAGAGACGACCCGACTGGATCCGACCCGAAACGCAAAATGTCGACTGACTCGAAAAAGAAAGGATTTACGAGCACCACTCCTCCAGCTTCACTGACCAAACTCTTGCTCCGTTCTTTGTCGCGTCTAAAGGCAAGAACGCCAAGCAACACCACCCCTGTCTCTTCTTTATCGCTTAAATCGGTACATCAACAGTTTCCTTTCCCATTTTTTTTCTTATGTCTTAAATTTTCTTTTACAACATTTGTTGATTCTTTATCTAAGCGCAAATACGAAAATGGTGTTTTTGGTTAATGGGTTTTTTTTTAACAATTTTTGGTTATCTGGGTGTGTTTTGCAGGTGTGGTTATATGATTGGTGGCTGGTTACGGCAGAAGGGAAGGGCTTAGCTGTTTCTGGGTTTACTTTTAGAGATTAAGTGAATTGATTTATTTATTTATTTATTTGTTATTTCTTTGATTGATATAATTTAATTTTCTTCCATTTTGCTTTCTTAGTTGAAATTTTTTGGTCATGTTACTATAGAACATTGCATTTTCTTTTTTAGGGTTTATATTTTGGCACAAATTATTCTATGAACTTAGCTCCGTTTTTTTATTGGCAAGGAATTAATTTTCTGTTTGTGTTATTTATATAGAATTATTAATTAACTTTTTCCTTACTATTACTTTGATGGATATAATTTGGTTTTCACTCATTTGCTTTTTTTTGCTAAAATTTTGTGGTTATTTTATGGCATGCCATTTTTTTTTTTTTTGGCTTTTCTTAATCTTGGCATAATTTCTTCTATCAAGATTATGATGTATATTCGTGTGTTATAACCGTGCAACTGATCAGTGTGTGCGAAACACAAATGGCAGACCTATTTCCTTACATGCACAACTCTGTTCTGCATTTTTCCTTTGCTATTTAAAGGTTCTAGCGCCTTAGCTCCATTTTTTTTATGATTAGTGAGCAAGGAAGTTATTGTGTGTTTGTCTGATTTTGGTATTGGATTTGATGCCACAGAGGAGTAGGAACAAGATTTTTTTGCTCGGCAGCGATTGTCAAAAGACATTATACCACCATTCTTGAGACAAAAGATGGCATCACTATTACAATTAGTGGATTCATAAATCGAGATTGAACACGTAAAAATGGATTTTCGTTTCAGGTATGGAATCATCTTTGTTCAGGCCTTCACTCTGATTTTGTGTTTGAAAGAATATGGCATTGTGTGCTATTTGTTTTCGGAAATTTGTGATGCAGAATTATTGTTGCTACTGAATATTTTTGTTTATTGTTGTTCCCATCTGCTCCTGTGAAGATGCGGTTTTCATAATTAACTCTGTTTTCTTTTGCGTGAAGATTTATATGTCCAGTATTTGTGCATTGTAAAGAAGGAAAAACAATTTGGATTCAGTTTTTTAGATAGAGAGAGATAACTATCTCTAGTTGTATTAAAGTTCATTTGTTGATTTTCTAATGAACACAAAAATGAAAATGTTACTTTGAGCAGATTTGTGAGCGTTTCCAACTGGGATTTCCTTATTCTTGGGAAGAACTTGCCACCCAATTGTGTGATGAAGAGTGTGCTAACAGAGGTAGTCCTCCGGGAAAATTGGGGTTTGATGAGCTCGAAATTGTCTTCTGGCATCACTGCGAAAGCTGCTTCGGTTTCTTTTGATGATCTCCCAGTGACAAGGATACGTGATATTCTAATGCACCCTGTTGGAGATTCCAAAGATTGTGTACTTGCTTATATGCTAGAACAATCCTGCAGCAATGATGTCAAACTCTCTCCAATATCAACCAATACAGACACAAAGAATCCAGTCACAGTGGCAAATACCGTGCCGGATGAAACTATAAGGACGTGTAAGAGGAAAGCTGGCCAGAAGTACAAAGATGGTGGTAAAATTCCACGTACAGTTGATACAGTAATGGGGGAATGCATTACACCAAGCAGAGGAATTGTTACAAGGAGCATGTCTAGATTGAGAAATCTTACAGAAATACGAGAAGAAACTCCCTTATCAAACCATACTGCCTCCTGCAAAGAATTCAGAAACGACCCAGATAAGGTTTTGCTATGCTCTTCCATCAAGAGTAAAGATAATAATTTTCTTTCAACGTCAGATGCCACTAAGAACCAGTCCAGAGTGATGAGGGGTATGAGTGCTGGGATAGATCGCTGCTCTACCTCATCTAGATTGATGGATGTTAGAAAAATGAAGGAAGAAAATCTCTCGTCAAACTCAACTGTCACCTGCAAAGCATTCAGAAACTTCCCAGAAAAGGTTTTGCTAAACTCTTCCATCAAGAGTAAAGATGATGCTTTTCTTTCAACATCTGAAGCCATTAAGAACCGGTCCAGGGGGATGATAAGTACAAGGGGGAGGAAAGGTAGTTGGGCTACCACATCATCCGAGAAAGTCATGGAAGCCCCTGTTGTGCCTTTAGTCAGAAGGTCAAGTAGAAGGTGCAATATCCGGAAGGATTATCGTGTGAAATAGTAGTATGGAAAGCCAAAATTCTGAAACAGAACCTAGAACTGGTGGAATGTTCATGTCTAATGGAGATGCCCTTGCCAAAAGTGAAGCTTTCCCTCTAGCCTTACTTGGGGGATCAACGTTGGATATTTCATCCACATATGAAAGAACTAAAAGGCTTCCCAGCATGTTCAAAATGAGCTCAACAAGCGTATGATCAGAAACTCCAGGGCATAAGGCCTCAGCCTCAGAATCTGGAAAGTTCTGCAAAAAAGCATCATTGATACTGTCAATTTGACTCAAAATAACATCTCGAGTACTATGCCAATTTTAGTAAGGTAACCAAGGGGGTGAGGGTTTACAATAAATAGCTTCATTTCAGTAGTGCCTTACCTTGCAGATCTATCTATCGTCTATGCTTTCGATATATAAATTTTTTTAGTGCTCTCATGCTATCTTTCTCCGTGCCACGGCGAGATTGATGTGATGACCCCTGAATCATGCGATATGGACTATGTAACGTTACAAATTAACGTTCTTATTTACAAGATAACTCGTCGGAAAGTTTGTTCATATGCCGGGTAATAGAATGCCTGCCTTCTAAAAGCGAGGACTTTGGTTATCCTTATAATTTTAACACAGGAAATGCCTTAAATTTGACCACTATATGCAGCCCACGGCCACCACAATAAATGGCGTTTCATGGCAACAATTTTGTCTGCTCGCCCACTACCCCATGGAGTTTGATCGTGTTGCTCTCAACAGTCCTGCACACACATGCAAGCACAACTCTCCATCTCTAGGCAACAGTAGAGAAAATGTAATTCCTTTCCAACCCGGAATTGAGAAAGGGGAAACATTTAAGGCATACACAATCTTTCAAGAAAAGAAATACAGTCGAGATTTAAGAACTGATGTTAATCATTAGAAGGATCCTAGAATCATCAGGACTCAGTTCTTTTATTTTCTGTGCTAATTAATGAGTCACTATTACATCTCCACACGATTGAACTGAAAGTTTCAAATACATGATTCGATTCATCACTCCAGAATCGTCAGGATTTGGTGCTTCTTTCATTTTTGTGTAATTATGCAATGATAGAAAAAGGAGAAACACCCACAGAATAGTAAAAGAGTAAGCTAAGTCTATTTTTTCTTTTCTTTCTTTCAACAAAAGACATGCCTAACATCATCAAATGAAATTCAATAGTTGCTCATGCGAACAGACCGAAAACTTCTAGGTCTTGATTCCCCTGTATTTTACAGTGACTTACAAATGGAACTATTTGCAGCCTAGTTGGACTTCCGTTTGATTCCGCAGTTAACAGTCACCCTTACATGTGCCAAAAAAATTATGTCTGTAACTGACTATTTTTTTTTTTTTTACAAATTCTAGAACGTGGGGCTCTCTGGAGTTTTGTTGGACAGTTGCACTTCCTTCTGATACTGCATTTACACAGGCACTCTTTTGCTCCGATATCGATCAAAAAGCTGCGGATCAATGAAATACAAGATTAGATTAGATCAGCAGCTTCTAACAGTGAAGTGTTTGTGAATAATAAATGTATACAAATGAATTGGGAATTCTATTACTCAAGATATTAACTTGATTCCAGCCACTTACAGCATTACAATCAGGCAAGCCCATAGTTATATTAGATATGTCAAAAAGATTTTGACTTCCACAGCCTTCCCTTAAAATCCTGTTAATTCTCTGACTACTAACCAATATGTTTTCTCAACATTTTCTCCATTCTGTGAAATCTCCCAAACTAATCATTTTTTTTTTAACAAAGATGGCTTCAATAAATCTGTAGGCTAAAAATCCATAAAACCTTTTTTTGTTGCAAGGTCAATAAAATGGACTTACGTGACAATTTAATTCGTCACACCTTTCCTTCAAGTAAGCAACTTAACATTTCCCAACCATCTTTTCCTTCCAGTAAGCAAGTTAACACTTCCCAACCATCATCCCAAGCAACCTTTCACCATGTTTCGTCAGTCATCAAATTCCACACATATCCTCCTCCCCACTGCCCCCCTTTCCTATGATGTAAACCAGGGATGTACCTGAACGCTATCTCCCTTTACAAACCCAACTATAAGAGAAACTTTGCTAACTACATTTATCCTTGGCCACTCATTACAGACATAATCACAACCTTGTTTGGTTATAATATCAACTCTCAATGCAAAACAAAAATTGTGCTAAATTCCAGTTCCTCAAGTAAATGCAAAATAAAAGGTTTGCAACAAGAAATAAACAGTCTATGTTCCCATTTTAGACAAAGGGAAAACTGTCAGTGAGGATCAGAGGTATACAAAATAGAATATAAGAAACAAGCATGCAGCTAACCTCGCCACAAGTGAAGAAAAGAGCAAAGGGTGTAAAAGAAAACCAAAGGGGTATCAAATGGGACAAAAGCTGTTTTAGCAAATAAGCGTTCTTTTATGGAATCAAGAATATAACCAATTAACCAGTGAACAATTTAAAAGAAAATAATTGCAGAAAAGAAACATATCAACCTCCCAACTGAGGTTGGTTGTCTACCTTTATCCATAACATGGAACTAGATATTCATTCCTTGTGTTATTTTTTAGCATATTAAGGATTGTATCTCGATTTTCTATCAATATTTCTCAAACTTATTCATTAGATGCACTAAAACGACAGTCTTTAGTTTTGCACGTTCCTCGTGTCCGATGCAAACAATCATCGTGATGTCCAGACCAAGTCCAGACATAGAAACAGTAAAAGACTCATCAATAAGAAGGTAGCATCTACAAGGATAGAAGTCCAAATATAAGTTTTTTATTTCAGTTCCAAAGTAAGCATACCGATCTCACAAAAGGCTGTTGGAACACCCATCCAAGAATTGGTATCCTCTGCACGAAAACTGCCAGTGTTGGCCAGAAACCACTGTAGAAAATTCCCGTCAGCAACTTCGACTGGATAAAGTAAGCAGAAACTATAAACCAATTTAGATAGATATCCAACTGACCTGAAGAGTACGATGAACCCATATGCTTCCAAGATCATACCAATAATTGGCCATCCTATGACCACAAAGAAGAAGCCAACACCAAATGAAATAGTTCCCTGCATAACCAGCAAAGTACAAGTGGTGTAAAGAGAATATGAAATACATGCAGCTGATGCACAGTTCACATGTGCACACAGACACAAAGAGATAAGCCACCTTAAAGTTTTGGCGTTTCATGAAGAATTGCATGGTAGATTTTGGTCCAATAGTGAGACTGACTCCAGAGATGAAAAGGATCTGATCAAGTACCGCAGAGAAAGAAGCAGCGTCAAACTGATGTCATAACACAAGCAAAACAGAGTAAATAGCATATGAGGACAGGCAGAGCACGGCTCTTACATTTCCCATGGCAATTAATCCCTTGTCAAAGAAGAAGACAATTCCCAAGAATGAGAAAAATATGCCAAATCCAGTCAAGCCTAGCCCAATCTCTGTTTCATTCACAAAAATTAAAAGGTATAAGAATTCTGAAAGAACATATAGCATACCAGATGAACATAATCAAAACCTCTTCCTTTCTCTATTCTTTTTTCCCAGTCTAATTCATGCTGAAAGTCACACAGACAATGCCATCACTCACAAGAACAAAGAGTCAACATGAGGTACATAGACTAATCAACTGTACGAAATGAAATTGCAAAGCTTCAGCAACAACTTAAGACTCCTCAAACAGTTCAAGCTTGCCAAATTTTCGTCAATCCACACAAATGTATACGTCAAACATAAACTTCCCACCTAAGGTTCCTCAGGTCCAACATCCACCGTCATGACTACTGAAAGATTCAAAAATCAGCCACCCTAGCTAGTTGCTACAAGAATAATACTTCTACAAGCAGTATCTACTTCATAAATTCTCCACAAGGAAATAATTTCTCAAACTCATTAGTAACAATAACATGCTTATGCAACTAGCTAAACACCTATAACACGATATTAGAAAAGGAAAAAAATAATCTATACTCAACTTTCAATAAATTTCAAGCCAAAACAAGCACAATTAGCTCCCGAAAAAAATTAAAAAAATAAACAAATATACATTTATGCAAATAGCAAGTCGTAAGAAAGAAGGTATAATTTAACTCACTTTTGCGGTCATTCATTTCAAAGGAAACCATAGTTGAAGCTGTTGATTGATTCTTCACGTACTAATCACTTTCACTGCACAAGAACAAGAACATGAAAAGCAAAATCAGATCCAGTTAAGATCAAATTAAACACGATAAGCTTCAAAATAGGGATTCAATTACAAAAAATTAGAATCACAAAAAATCTGCATGTGCAACAACCGTAAATTTTCTATGTTACCTCGATAAATCCGTTGGCGAGCAAGCGAGAGATAAAAAACGAAAGAGATCTTCTAGAATGATCTACCTGAAGGAGAGCAAATCAAATCGAAATGAATATTCATTTCATCGATTAAACGAAGATAAAACAGTGAAAGAAAAAGAATGAATCGAAAGGAGCTGTGTTTGGAAGCTGAGAAAAACAAAGCCGAGCTAAGCTTTTCTTTCTTATTTTGTTTTTTCTCGGCTACCAAACAGAAACTAACATAGAGGAAAAGAAAGAGATGTGCCTGAGATTTGAGAGAGGTGAAGGGGAGGAGCAACGGGAAATGAAATGAGAGAGGGGGTTTGTTCTGTGAGCGCGTGTATCTGTCAGTTATTGCTACCATTTTATATACTCCAAAAGAAAATGACGTTTATTTGTTTATTTTTCTGAGGATAATATTCGGTTAGATTGCGTAAAATAAAAATAAAGTTTTGGTTGTTTGTTAGTGATGTTGTTTAGCCAATGAAATTTTGAGTTTCTTTTTTTTTTAAGTAAATTATGAATTAGTCCTTTAGTTTCAAGAAATGAATTAATTAGCTCTATTTGTTTTTAAATAATATTAATTACTCTATATATTTAGATTTTTTTATAACTGACTTTTTTTCTCTTTTTAATTTATTTTTATGTTTTATTCTAAAAATAAAAGGATTAGTGAGAAAAAATATATTTTAAATAAATTAGTATTAAGTTAAACGTGGACAATACTGTTTAAATAATTAATTTTAAAAATAAATTAAATTAATTAATTCATTTCTGGAGTTAGAAGAACTAATTTATAATTTATTCGTTTTTATTTTTTGGTCTGGAAAGCTACTGTCTTAATCATCTTAACTCGGGTTTTTAAGCTAGGTCTAGGACGAGCCGACTCGGTAATTCTCTGTAAATTTAATAATATTTAACTTCAGCTCTTGTAGTTTGAAATTTCTTGAAGATTGATCTTATAATTTTCTAGAAAGTTCCAATCTAGCCCTTGACCTTTAAATAATAACTAACAGAACGCCCTTGTGCCTTTTCCTATCATTTCCCGCACGTTTCAAAAGAAATTGGAAATTTTGGTGGCTAATTATTGAAAGGTCCAGAGTCTATGTTAGAATTTTTAGAAAAGTTGGAATTAATATTAAGAAATTTTAAAATCCAAGAGCTGACGTAATCCTTTTTATTCCAAAAACTAATTCATCAATCCATTAATATTGATTATAATTAATTTAATATCATTTTGGTTCAAAAATTTCTTCTTTTCTCATCATTCTTTTCTTTTCTTTTTTACTATTTCTTCTTTTTCCTATTTTTTAAAACAAAAAATCAAAATAAATTTTTAAAAAAGGAATAATTAATTCTTTCTCAAAGCTAGAGAAACTAATTTATTTTTTAACATTGACTTGCAAAAATTAAATAATCAATCAAATTGTAAAATGCTGTCCGTTTTAGTTTATTATATTTGTGGTCAGATGAGAAAAATATTTTGTTCAGGCAATTGAAACGACTCAAGTAATTCTGAAGCTGGCTATCTGGCATAAGAGATTAGAATTGCTCATATTTAAGAAAATTAAAAACGAAGTTGTAGAGGCTACAGAGCAAGATGATTGAATAGGATGAAGAAATAACATAGACTATTATAGCCAATATTATAAACTATATCAAGTTTTGGATTCCAAAGAATTCATGTAAAAAACTATAAATGTATTTTATGCAATTATTTTTTGGGTATCCTTTACATGCTATTGATCGATCGATCGCTACTGATCGCCGACGCCTTCGGGGGAGGGCATCTACAAAGGGAAAACAGACAAAAATTAGCAAGATGTGAAAATCAGACATCAACCAAGATTCATATGCAGCTGTTCTATTTGCTTAAAGAACAGTCACCAACACTTCTTCCAGTTAATTCCTGCCCCAATTATGAGTAATCCTAAGTAGTCTTTTATAGGATAAATGAAGAAAGAAGCATAGTTTGGTTAATTATTTTTATTAGAATAGTAATGGCTAAAAGGTTTCTCGCAATTAGCATTTTCTTGAAAATGAATTCGGGGAAAGAGGATGTGGACAAACCAAACCAAGAGCATCTGCTGCAGTTCTATGACTTTCTTCGCTGCAGACTCCAATGAACATATTCATCAAAAGTTCCCTCTGCTCCACCTTTAAGTTCCTCGCAAGTCCTCGAGCCACCATCTCCATTTCGGGCTGCAGAAAGACATCCAATCATGGATCGCATTAGGACATAAACAAGTTAGAATCACATAAGATCGTGGCTAAATGGAAGCAATTATACCAGGCAACCATATGCAAAAACTAAATAGCCTAAAAGATGCTTAATGAAGAGAAACCTTGTATTTTACCTCCAGATCCTAATAATGCTGCTAATGAGAACTGGTAATACAGCAATCTAAAAAAGGATCGTAGATTTGTATCCAAAAACAGTATTGAAATAGAAGACAATTTACTTATTACTTCAACAGTATGGTATGCAATCTTCATGAGAACCATGAAAATGTTATGGGTAACAAAACTGGCTAAGGTATCAAGGAGACGTACAAAAATAGCACCAAGGAAGTATAAGAGATACCAACATGGCGTGTGTGGCCATCTTAAACCGCCAATGGCACAAGGACCTCATTGGCCATACAGGTTAAGGATAAAAACAAAAGGCATGATGCTGGTTTTCTGTAGCACTAGTGTCAAACAAAACTTACAAACAAAAAAGAAGCAACACAGAAAAAACTAGGAAAAAAAGAAAAGCACTTACTGAGGACTCTTCAGGAGGAAATGTTCGGAGAACAAGGCATATCTTTGACAGCTCAAACACGGCTTCAGAATGTTTTCCTTGAACTTCCAAAGCCTGCAACCATTGATAACATCTAGAAATCAACTTAATGAATACTCCAAAATAAAAATAAAAAAGGGTTCTAATTTTCCCAAAAGGATTAGACATTTTGGGAAGCTATAAAAGACATGTTCAAGATGTAAAAAGAAGAGAGAGATTGGACTTCAACTCAAAAATAATTTGAACTTCTGTTTGTAAACTCAAGGTTCATGCCAACAATATATCACACATCCTGAATTACTTAAGTTAGAGCAGAAGAATTACCCATGCTTGCAAGAAACATGCACGCGTTCGTGCAGCAACAGCAGCAGACACCATTCTTGCAGCACGAATGCTCTCAAGCCCAATATTTTCAGCAAGCCCAGCAATAAATTGTCGAGGATCTTCACCATCAATCTCAACAGTAGTAGAGTAACTTGAGGCACTGCAAGCTTGCAAAGAAACTTACAACTATAAGAAAGGCAAACACAAATAAATCCATGAGGTGCCAAGTAGCAGAAATGTTTGGTGCAAGCCTAAGGACACAGACCTGCTGCAAACATTTAAAACAACGTCAATTGCTGCACGGTAGAAGGTGTCCCGAGTGTTTGTTGTGTTGAAGGACCCCTGAACCCCAGATGTCCTGCATATTCGACGCAACTGCTCACCCATACAGGAAAAGAAAAGTCCAGTACATATTGAGAATCAGCTAATGCAACAGAAATATTATAACTAGACATCAGCATTGGTAATTCAATCTCGTTTTAACAGAAAAATTCATCAGAATTATTCAAATTCAGAGATAGAAATTGCAGTTAAAACATATATTGCCATCACTTGCTTATAAATAATCTTTCATGCATATTAGTATTATACAAATCAAATAAATCACATCCAAAGGTAAAAAAATTAAAAAAACAAAACGAGTTCCCCTTGGCCCAATTATGGTCTTCCCAGGTAGTTTTGCATGATGCATCGCAGGTAGGGATTTGTTTTAGTTTATAGCTTCTCTTAAAGCCTCTACTTCAGTAATGAATTGAAGTACAACAATGAACCAGACAGTGTTGGGGGTGTTAAAAAACCACCTAAGAAAGACATTCCCCTAACCAAACTGGATATCCATTTTCATTTCAATTGTCCACATCCAACTTCAGGCTTTTAACTAACATACCACAAACTTGTCTGTAATAGTATCATGAAAGACTTGCTCAAATATGCCAATTTTTAGTTGATCGGAGCGATCTCTTCTTGGATCAAATAAATAAATGAGATTTTTTTCTTCCATATAGAGACATTTTATAAACTAACTTCTAATCCTGATATTTTGCAGAATGATATAGTCAAGACAACAATTAAAATTAAAAAGGTTATAAAAGCACTGACTTGAATTATATCATGCTCCATCACATCCTTTCCCCTCGTTCTATAATCCGTGATCGCTGGAAATCAAGTCAATGAGTCGCAATGTACACATAATATTACCAACATGACATCAATTGAAATCCACAAAATGTACATTGTTTTTCCATTACCTACAAAAAAAGTAACAATAAATAAATAATCGATAACATAATAAAATCAAATTAAGTAGTAATAAATAAATAAATAAATAATAACGAAATTAATAACCCAAACCTCGAATTAATCTGTTAGCCTCCCTCTGATACTCCTCCTCCTGACCCAAACCAACAACCCAACCCGAAACCGAACCGGAACTAGGCCACCATTTTGGCAACTTCTGTTGGCTCCCAACCCGATACCTCCTCCAATCACCCCTGTCAAAACCCAACCCATCAACCAGACCCGAAATCTCAACCGGGTTAGCGAGTCTCTTGGGTCTTTTACTAACTTCCCTTTGTTGTTCATTGACAGCAACAACAACTTCTTTCCCACCAAGACTCCGATCTCTACGAACTACAAAAGTAGGGTTTTTTCCACCACCAAATTTACGCTTAAACCCTAACCCTAATTTAACCAAAATCCTAATCGAAGAAATTAAAAGAAACCCAGAAAGCAGCACGGCACCAGCAAACTGCACAGTTGACTTTTGACACGAGAATACTACTCGGTTGTTCTCGTCGAGACTAACTAGGGTTTTCAAATCATCAACTGCGTCTTGACCTAAGGAGAGAAATTGGTAAAACCTTGAAGAGGGTAGTTTCGAAATTTGGGTAATATCAAGGACTAATTTGAGATTTTGGGAACCATTGTTAAGGGTGATATAATCATTATCTAATGAGGAGGGTTTCATGGGGTTGTTAGATAGGGTTTTGGATTTGCGAGAACGACGACGTTTCGTGGAGAAGGAGTTTTGAGGCGGGGCGTAAAGAGAGGAGGATGGTTTGGTGAAGAAATGTGGAGGAGAGGAGTAGGGAAGTGTGTTAATCGAGGTCATTCTGTTTAGTTTAATTTAATTACATGTGATTACGAGAGGTAATGATTATTAACAGTGGAGGGTGGTTTTGGTCCTTGCTTGGCGGTGGAGACAAAGGAGGCGTGCAGGGATGTTTGCTATGAGAAGAGGGAGAACGAGGGGAGGAGGATATATGTTTGTTTATATCTGGCTGTAGTCAATGCACTTGGAGTGTAGTTTTTAGAGAGAGAGAGAGAGAGTAAATGGGTCATAATGGTTCAGATTTTCTTGCAACCTTTTTAGCTTTCCATGGTATTCTGTGAAGTACTGTGAACTGAATCTCTCTTTCTTTTCAAGAATTATTTCTGCTAATGATTATGCAATAACATTCTTCCTTTGAAATGAATCTCTCTTGCTTGATTTCTAATGAATCATGATTCAAGAAGGTCAAAATTAGAATTAGAAACTGAGACTCACTTTAATAAGTTAAAGTCGAAGTGACAGCCATAGCGCCGTGATTATATTTCATTGTAGCTAAAAAGAAAGAAGATGAAAGTGTTTTTTTTTTTTTTTTTTTCAAAATTTGAGAACAAAGTGCCAAACGATACCCTATTATATGCAAGATCGTTGAAATATTCTGCCAAAAGAAATTTCTTTGGTAGATAATCGAAAATATTGTTTTATTTTACAATTTTATTCTAGTATTTATCATAAAAAATAATATAAAACTCTTTTTTATCTCTCATCTAGTAGCTTAATTGTTTCGTTTGATATGTTTCATATTCATGATGTCAAAAACCTTGCTAAACCTCTAATATCTTAAACATCAAAACTTTACTAATGAAATAAAGAACTTTTACTTAAAAAGATATAAGCTTAAAAAACTTAAAAAATATATATTAAAAAGTAATATTGAATCATTTCTAAAATCTCATCTAACAATTGAAATTTCTGAGTTGAAATGATTTTTATATTTGAATGGCCTTTTACACCCCATAAACCTGCTAAAAACCTGGAAATTTTGAGTGTTGAAAATTTCGATCATGAAAATGCTGGTGCTAATGTGCTATAAAGACCAATCATCATTGCATAGAATTGCTGATCGAGTGAGCTAGATCGAAATAATGAACGGATCATAATCTTCCTCATCACAACATCTGGTCGTAATTACCCTACCCGTTAATACGAGAAAGAATCCGATGGAACTCCGAAATACAGCAGCTAAATTTATTTGAGGAAATACATTTAAAAAAAAAATCACTCTATTTTTTGATATACTGTTAACAAAAGGATACATTTAAATAGCATGTTACGTATAAAGAAAAAGGAGCATTATTTTCGTAACACCATCTGGGCTTCTAAAAGAGAGTACAAAAAATGGTATTGGGAAAACAGGGAAAAGAATATCTCTTCTATTCTGAGGTAAATAACAAAAACAACCCCACATTGGTGTTCAAAAGGCAGGTAAGATATCGGGAATCAGGTACCTGGCTACCGATGTTGCTAATCTTTGTCAAGCCTCGAGCAGGGAAAACACAGATGGCTCGGGCATCTCCGCACGATTGAAAGGCACAACAACTAGAGGGGGAACGAAAGAAGCAGGAAATGATTCTCAAATGTGTAAAACAATTCTTCCAAGTTGTATTTATTGTGAGATCCTGACAAAAGACTTATCTTCTGTTCAATCCAACAAGTCCTGCCAAAAGAATTCTTTCCACAAAAATTCCTGAAAAACAAAAATCATTGCAGTGCACTTTTAATATCTAGGATCTAGCAGATAAGATTTAAGAAACATCAATATCTTCGTTATGGTCGTACCTCTATAATGTAATACAAATTTTATGAAGCTTTAGGTGGGGAGTAGAGGCTGTCTTTCATCATGTCCTACGCGATGAGTAGTCTGGAGAGAGAAAACATGTAGTTGGTTTGAGATGACTTAATAATCCCTCATATATGGTAACTAAAGATACATACCTCTTCATTTGCTGCGGCTGCCAAATCTAGGAACGAATCTTTTGACCTGAACAGTAATAATAAATAATATATTACGTTATTGCAATGGAGAAGATAAATCAAATCAGAAGTGTTTTTTCTCAGAACTTTTTTCCAGCCTTATCAGAGAATAAAAACAAATCCAATGTATTAGGCAACTAAATCATGTTCCTTTAAGGCATATCCAAGTTAGAGCTGATTGTTGTTATTTTTTCAAAATTAAAGTAAGAACACCATAACTTATTCCAGTGCCATTTCTTATAATATCAGCACTTGAAGTGTGTGTTCTGTGTGTGGGAGAGAGAGCACATACTTGAGTTTCTCAGGAACATCCCTTAGTTCTGTCATTCCATTCTGCTGTTCATCCTTCACTTTTGCAAGCGGTGAAAAAAACTGAAGGACAAATTAAGCCAAAGAAAAGAATGTGCTCAATAAAAAAATATAACTTTTAAATAATCCATAAAAAATTTCATTATCATCTTTTTGTAAATCACCTGGTGCATCGAGATGAACACAATAGAAATTCCTAACATAAAGTTTATGGTCAAAGTATGACCAAACAATGCAGCAGATGCAAAGCCTGTGAAGATTGTTGCGACTGTTGAAGAGTACTTCTTCAGAATTGTATCTAAAAATATCAAAATGATGTCACTAACTGTAGCAAATAATGTTTTCATGCCATAGCTCACAGAAGCACATATATGTAAGAAGAAACTCCGAATATGAACTTGAGGACATTGAATCCATTTCATGCAAAAGGAGAATATTAGGGGTGAAATGAACCTGCATATTTGAAGAAAAAAGAGGACAGAATTCCTTGTGCTGCGTTGTTAAATATCAGAAGCATGGTAGCTTTAGAATGCCCTTCCAGGATGTTAAAGCTACTGGGTCCTGAAACATTGGACATGCAAATGTCAGGGACATGACTATAAGTTTGCATAAACATCCCATGAAACAAAACTAACAAACTCATAGGCAACGGGCATTTGAGCGTCTCATGAAATTATCATTGATAGAAAATGTGTTGCATTACTCTTGAAGTGACAATTCAATCAAAGCAAGGTTCTTGGAGCAATGTCACAGCCGTTAAACAAGTTATAGAACGCCCTCATATTAGGTTTCATCAACATTCCAATACCTTATCAACATAAATACCTAAGAAATTATTTCAACAGTCTACTCTCCAGGTCCCCTGCACAAAATATATTACTATCAAGGATTCAAGTCAAGGTAACGGTTCAAGTTGCAGCTACACCACTGATGTGGCAGAAGAGGACATATTTGGATGTTAAGTAGCAATATTAAGGTTGTCACAGCTGTGCATTTTCTTAAGGTTTATCAAAGGATAGCTCATGAGAAGCAAAAACTAATTCCTCCAAAGCGAGCGGAATTAAATCTTCACTACAGTTATTATGTTCCAAATAGTCACAAATGAAATTCCATCATAATTTGCTCTTCAATGTCACAAGTAAAATTAGATCAATGGGTAGAAAGCCTTGTACAAAATAAATCAATGAAAAGCAAACTCATTAATGGCATGACCTATCAAGCAATAGATCCCTTCCATACCTTTGACAACGGCAGTTCCCAGTATTGCTAAAAAGTTGAATATAGCACCATACCCATATAAAAACAAGTTCTGGAAGCAAAAAGATGGAGTCAAAGTTAGGATAAGTTATTGATATTTAATTCTTTGAAAATGCAAATACAGTCTTAAATCAAGATACAGCTTCAACTCATGGCAGAAGCATATTAAGCCAAACATTAAAACGGAGTCCTACACTACACACTTGAAGTGCCTCAAGAGTCAAAAGTATGTGCTTGACACTTGCTAGGGGAGTCCTCCCTAGATTAAAGGTAGAAACAAATAACCCTTCACATTGGAATTTATGTAAAAGCTGTCAGAATAAACCATTTGATGGTAATAACTGAAAAAAGTAATTAATTAAACTGCAATATTTTTTTAGGCTCAAAAATAAAAAACCAATTTCCTCAACCATAACATATCACCTGAAGATATATGCTTGTGTCATATTGGCTCTTCAGAGCATATTCATTAAAGACAGAGGCCATAGATGGCACGGTCACCTGTAAAATTCCAAAAATCAGCCTCCAACATGGAGAAAAGAATTCTAAAAATAACAAAACTTTACATAGAGATAACTACTTTTAACACAAACTGCTTCCATAGCTATCTCTTCAGTCCATTGAACAAACAGTAATCACTATCATTAGCAAAGAATACTTGAGTTTACTTACAAAGATCAATGTGTAGACGTATGCACCCGTTGCAACTGGAAGGCCCATAGCGGTGGTACCTTCAGGTAAAGAGCGCAGCTGATTTACACTTATTCCAATGAGCAACAAAGCAAGAGCTTCCCACTGTTACAAATCCACGAGTCAGTCCTATATTTACCAAGTAACAAAATGACACTGAAAAGTGGTCATAAGTGGACACTAAATAGATGAAATAGAAAACTCTCCAATCAACCAAAAGTGGCTAAACACAGTCATCTTTAAATTAGAAAGTAGAATAACCTGAATAATGGAAAACCGACGTCTCATTATTATCTTCAGTAAGACAGCAATTACCAAAACCTGCAAGTTCGCAGCAAGAGATAAAATTTAACAGTAGTAGAAATTCATAATCTAAAACAAAAAATAACTTTTATTCCCTTTAGAAAAATAAAATGAGCATTTCTATGTATAGAATTCTCTGTTAAAGAGAGAAGAAGAGTCCCAGTTCAGCATATTTAGGCATAATTCATCCACAGCTGAAGTTCTTACTACACTTCACCTAAGCCCTAGGTCAAAAGAATGCAGATTCCATCACATATGATAATGTTCAATAATTTCATTAATTTTGGCTTCCAAGTAAACTATTCCTGTGCGATGAAAATCCTTTGTTTCAATTTACTAATTTATCAGTGTTCTATTTCAACCTTCAAACACTTTTTTTTTGGTGCATGCTAAATTGTTACAAGTCCACCAGAGCTGGAAGCATTAGTGTCTACAAGGGAAAAAATCATAGAGCTAAAAAGTAATATAAGTTAGCTTCAAATAATCAGTAACATGCATCATAGAATACCTTCAAATTGCTCAGCATCTTCACAGTTGCAGGATTGAAATATAACTGCAAAATAAAGAATAAATTACAAGCTAAGGGGTGTATGAGAACAAAAAATACCACTACATTCCAAGTCTGAATAAGTCATAAATAAAAAAATGAAATATTATTTTCACTCTAATTAGCAAAGCTTCTGAGCTAATCTTGTGTGTGCGTGTCTGTGTCTGTGTGAAATCCTATTCACAGCTCCCCGGCTTCATAGTTTCTCTGATGCCCCTCAAGGCCATCAAAACAGAAGCTGGATGCACTCCTGGGCAGATAAGAAGTTGATATATTTACTTCCCATGCATATATGGATTGATTTTTGTAATTGAAGGCAAAAGTTCTGGATCTCCTTTCTCATTTTTATACTTCACTTAAACTCATTCCCTAAAGCAAGCAACTACGACTATAAGAAACATAACCTTTCACAAAAGGAGCAAAAACTTATGCTGCATAAAATTCCTTGATTCCTTTTAGTAATAATTTTTAATAGAATCCATCATATTTGATAATTATGTACCATAGCATCCATCTTACAATTGGATTTGGTTGGTGGCCCATGAATCGGAACCCTATGAGGTCACATATGATGAATAAAACTTTGATGCCAATAACACAAAATGCATGGAGCAAATATACTAAAATTGGTGTCTGGTAAACCCAATCACCACCTAAACTCACATCAGGTTTTCTTAAGGCCCTCCCCAGTTGGGGAAGGCTGGGCTGTGTTGCCAATTTACCCCCTCAATCACTACCCTATAAGCAAATGCATCTCAGTAGTTTCCTATGCATGGCATTGACCCATCGACATAAATATGGTAGCAACATGAAATATAATAGAGTACTAAATGTGGACAGCATAGATAGGAAGAGCTTCCAAAAGAATTATACCTGCATGATGAACTTTAGATAGTTATTGATAGCATATAGAAAAGCTGGAACAGCAAGAAGAACATTGTTACGAGCTGCCTGCAAAAAAGATAATGCATTGCCAGATTTAAAGCCTGTCAAATATAAAGATTGAAAATATTTTGTTCAAATGTGCAATCCCTCGTATAATATCAATACCTGTACAAATGTGGAAATTGATACAAGGGGCTTCTCTCCAACTTTCTGATGCCTTGCCTGCAGAATTAACCAAAACCTTACAACAGCAGCCAGAAAATCTATAGACATAGGAGGCATAACAGGAATCTTTTGTTCAAGAGGATTTTTCTAGCTTTCATGAAAACACTACCTTTGAATGAAATGCTATGAACAAACAGGGAAAACAAATAAGGAAAAAAACTATAATAACTGTAGAGTACAGGCGATCTCAGTCAAGATCTCTCCTTTTTCCCTTTTTAACTCACACGCCCAAAGCTCCTATCAGAACTAGTCTGCTAGTTCTCTTAGGATTTGAAACTGTGATCTCTTGTTGCAAGAGACCACTACCACTGGGCTACAAGCTCTTTGGTAGTCAAGATCTCTCCTTATTTCCCATCTCAGCTCTACCTATGGAGATTAATTTACATACCAATACCCAGTTGAAGCTCCAGCATAAAGGTATCCTAGGAGACACGATTGGAAAATTTACATGTCAATACCCAGTTGAAGCTCCAGCATAAAGGTATCCTAGGAGAGAGAATTGGAAAAAATCCTAGTCTTTGGCAATTTCAGATATATGCAGTTGAACATCTCAGCACTTAAAACTGAACACTTGAAGTTGCAAGCATAAAACTATTACTACTGCACCAAGCAATGTTCATTTGTTTTATATGGCCCATGTTAGAATTACGAAGAAAAATATGGAATCAGGCATATATTTAAATGAATAGAAAAAGACATAAAATGTACCTGGAACAAAAGCATAATGATTGCAAACAGGACCTTCGCAACCTCTATTAAGAAGTTCACACTAAGAGGGCTAAAATTGAACTTCCCATCCACCTTGGACATATAAACCAAAATTGGCTGGCCAAAAAATTCAAAAAAAAAAAAAAAAATGTGTTAAGGAATCCAAGAAACAAGAAGACAGTTGTCACAGAACAAATTAGATATTATTATACTGCTGAAACAAAACAATACCCAACCGATATTTGAATGAACTATATCAGCAACTGAACCACTGATATTCACTTAGTTGATCAGCGGAGCACGATTCAAAAAGGTCAACATAGAAAATTAGCAAACAGATCAATAAGATGGCTTACCCACCCCAATTTCCTATAAACTGTATTTGGATGAACTTGTTTTAAACAAAAATTCATGAATGCAACTAATCACCTGTAGACCAACTAGGACACAATCGCCAACAACCAAAAGTACATTAAGGGCACGCTGCTTCGATGAAACCCTGTTTTTATGTCGATCATACGCCTTCGAATATGTTCTAGAATTTGGAGAAACCAATTTTGAATGGCACACACTGCATTCTAATGTGCCGTTCTTCATTGGCTCCCTCCTCAGCACTCACACTTCCACTCTTCACAAGATCAAATCTACACAGAGAAAAAAGAAAGAAAAAAGTTGATTATCGACAAGTAATTATCATTAATTATTACATTGATTGCTAATTAAGGGTTTAACTCTATTACAATTAAGGATATAAGCATAAAATAAAAGCTACAGAAATTAAACGTTTCATTAAAAAAATTAACCAACTTTATTAACATAAACAGAATCCACAGTTAATAGCTAATTTTTGTTCAAATTATGTGAAAATTTTAACTTTTAATCTAACTTTGTTCAAATTATGTGCAAGTTTTAACTCTTGATACCTAATTTTAGTGAAATTGTTAACATAAAACATGCATTATTAGCTAAAATTCTCTCTCGTCCAATAAATTATAAGAAAGTTAACTAACCTTATTAAAATAAACACAATCCAAATCAGATCCAAACACTACAGTAAGGATCGACAGATCCTGCAATTTCAAAATCCAAAACTAACACTTCATTAACTAAACAAAAACAAAATCATTACCGTGTGAAATCTCAGATCAGATCCACAGTTCCACCAGAGTCGAATTCAATTCAAATCCAATTCTCGCGCGGTGAGATACTCGAACTCCACAGACAAAATTGAGCAATCGAACTCTCTCTCTCTATAAAGAAGCTTAAAACGTTAGAGCATTATAAGAGCTAATAGTTTAATAAAAGAAACGAAAACTATTACGATAAACTCACCTAAATCACTCTCTTAACAATTCATTAGCCAAAATCAGCCTCAGCCGCCGGTGCAATCTCCGATCAGATCCACAGCTTCGCTGGAATCTGATTTAATTCTCTCGCCGTGAGAGATTTGAACTCTACCCAAAAAAAAAAAGCAGATAAATTGAAGAAACTTAATAAGTTTGGAGAATTGTAAGAGATGCGGAGAATATGCATGAACTTTTATTATTATTTTTGCTTCAGATTTACAGCAACAAAACACGGCGTTTGGGTTTTGGTTAACGGAAAACGACTTTAATGAAGGTGACAGACCAATCACGTGTCAGATTTGCGTTTGAAGAAGTGAAGTCAAAGCAAATGAAGGTAGCTTCGCTGTGGTGTGTTTCAGCCAATCAAATTTGATTGTCAGACTGATGTTGGGTGACGGTGTATTGAATATATACTAATTTTGTTTAACAGATATTAGATATTTTTTTCTTTTTACCACAGCAAAAAAGCATTCTTTTTAGTTAATTAAAATTATTATTTTTTAATTGATTTTAAAGTAGATTGAGATAAAAGAATACAATAATTTTTAATGATTTTATACACACACATATATAATGATTTTATAAGATGAGAAAGTTGATAAATAATATATGCATCTCAATTTTATTACGTTTTAATCTTATTGAAATTATTTTTCAAATAATTTTTTATTTAATAATTACATTTATTTAAAATAACTAAAAATATTTTTTAAATTCCAATTTCAATTCATGTACTGATGTATTGGATTGTCTCTTCAAGTTCAACACCAAAGATGAGCACGACATCGTTTCAGTAAAAATCATGTAACCCGTGTACTTTTTTAGCCACTTCAAACCCTATAATTGGATTCCTCTAACAATTCGGACTTCTCCCTTTTGGAATTTTTTTCCTCCCAGATTCTCTCAGTTTCTCGGGAAAATCAATCAAGTCTCATCGATCTCTATCGGTTTTACACTCCAAACAAAAGGTACATCACTGAGATTCGTGTTATATATTTATCTTGGCTGCTCGATTTTGGTTTAGTAATGCAAATTTAGTTCTTAAAGAAAATAGGTTTTTCCTCTTTTTCCCTTTGTGGTTCCTGGGAAAAGGTGGGAAAAGATGGGAATAACAGAAAAAGGATTTGACTTTCATGATGTTAGAGGCCTAAATTGAAATGGGTTCTTCTTATTTTGGAAATTTTTGGTGAAGGTCTTGTTTGTTGTAGATGATTTTGGTGTTTAGATTGAGAATCTTGAACAGTAGGGTTTTCTTGCCAATGTAATGGCACTTGCATTTATCTATAGCCTACAAAATGTTTGGCCTTTGTCAATATTGAAAGTTGATGATTTGAAGGCATCTGATGGAATAGTTAAGAAGCTTTCCGTTCCCGAAAACACGAAAAAATTCGTTTTTGCAGTTCGCGATCCTAAGTCTCAATCTGTGATTTATATACTTTGTGCTCAGAATTTATCTGAGAGGTCTGCTGTAGATGTTGACTGCCTTATCAAAGAGATTCGACCAGATGCTGTTGTGGCTCAGGTGGGTCATTCGGCTTTGGTTGAAATTCAATCTGAAGAGAGTGAATCGGGAAATATTGTTGATGAGCTAGTTCCCACTTCATCATTTGGAGTGATTAAAAGATGTTTTTTAGATAAGATTAATAAGGAAAAGTATGAAGACGTGGCTGGAAGCTTGGTTTTGAGAGAAATATTTGGAACGGGTTTTCATGGGCATATCTTGGCTGCCAAGAGGGTGGCCGAGGAGGTTGGTTCATCTTTTTTGGTGCTTGAAACATCATCTATCGATACAGTTATTGGGGACATTCCTTCTAGTGAAGTTGACACTGGGAGTGAAGTTGGCACAGGGAGCAAATTTCATGGTTTATTTAGTAGTTTAGTGCCACAGAAAGTGAATTTGGTTGCTTTGCAAAGTTCAAGGAGGTTTAGTCTTGACAATAATGTTCAGACACAGATGGTGAAGTTGTTATCTTCTTACATGGATGCATCAATGCATAAGCTGAGTCCTTCAAGTTCTGTTTCAGAGTCAGGATTAAACGAAATTCAGCCAGGAAATAGTTTCCAGGTGCCGCCATTTGCCCAATCTGTTTATCCATTACTTCTAGATCTACATAATATATTCATTGATCTCCCATCAATTGGGAGGGCTTTAGCCTTTGCACAGAAAATGCTATATGATGTAAACAGGGGGAAGCTGTCGATTCCCGAATTATATCTGAAGTGTACACCTTCCGAGTTGCTGTTGAGGGACTTAGAATTGCTCTTAATAATGCTGGTCGATTGCCCATCAAAGAATCGGGGATATCCAACAAGACTAAGGTTGAGTTCTCAGAGCTTCATGTTCAGGACAAGTCATATGCACTCATTGCACAGGCCCTTCAAAGCCAGACTAGGAAGTTTAAGACTATAGTAGCTGTAGTAGATGCTAGTGGCCTAGCAGGTATTAGGAAACATTGGAACACTCCCGTGCCTCCAGAAGTGAAGGATTTGGTTGGGCAGCTTGTTACTGATTGTGAAAGTAACCGAGAAGTTCCAAACCATGCTGAAAGGAGACAGCTACTTTCTAACAAACCTATGGTGGCAGTTGGAGCCGGGGCAACGGCAGTTTTGGGAGCTTCATCTCTTTCTAAAGTTGTTCCTGCATCGACATTCATGAAGGTTGTTACATTTAAATTGCCTACTTCCCTTAAGCTTCTGCTCACCCAAACCCAAAAGATAATGGCAATATCTATGGGCAAGACTCTTGGTCCAGCAAAACTGCTGGCCCCTGGACTGGCCAATTCTGGAGCCAATGCAACATCTTCCTTGAAGGCAGCTGCTTCTGCTGAGAAAATTCGGACAGTTGTCCACAGTGTTATAGCCTCTGCTGAGAAAACTAGTTTTTCAGCTATGAGAACAGCTTTCTATGAAATAATGAGAAAACGGCAGGTACAACCTATCGGTGTCCTACCTTGGGCAACATTCGGTAGCAGTATTGCAACTTGCTCAGCATTGCTCATGTATGGAGATGGGATTGAATGTGCTGTTGAATCTCTACCTGCAGCCCCTTCAATTGCCAGCTTGGGCCGTGGGATTCAAAGTTTGCACCAGGCATCTCAAGTAGTTGGGCAGACAGATGGCACCAGAATACAAAAATCTATAGAGTCCTTGATGTACAGGTTGAAGAAAGTAAAGATACAATAAAGTAAGACTTACATCTGTCCTCTCGATGTATACCAGCTGATACTGTTCAAAAGTTACTAGTACCTGAATTTAGAGAATTCTTCTGTATATAAGTAGAATGCAGGAGGGTGATTTATATTGTCATGGATGTTAATCCCTCTGTCTTCATCTGAAGTCAATTTTCTAATCTCATACAGCATCTTTGTCATACAGCCTGAGAAACATTTTACAATGGTTCCTTCTTCTCGCTTCCCTCCCACTTTATTTCTATGTTAAACTTTGAATGATCATTTCCACTCCCTTTGGTTAATTCAGATTGGTCTTACTTGAAATGGGTCACTATTAACTGTGTATGATAATAATTTTGAAGAATATTTGTTGGGTGTTGTGGATTCTGACATAGTAGAGAACTACTGCTCTCTTTGTTCTCAAGCAATGCCTGCTATCGTTATGAGATAGTATGCTGCTTGGTAGATGCTCTTCATTGGTTTCACAGTCCTTGATTCCATCTTCTCCCCATCACTAATTTGTTTGTGTAAATTCACACATAATTGAAAAGTCTGCAAATTTTTCGGAAAGCTATGGTAAAGCTAAGCGCATTTGTCAACTAGTTATTTTGTGAGGCTAGGAAATTCTGCAAGTCGCCTGTGTATTCTTCGAACTGTATTATGCAGACTGTTTACTTCATATTAAGTATCGGTTACATAGATAACTCAATGTTGAGTCATAAGATGCTAAAATTTGAACTCCGTTTATGATTATTTTCTGAGATGTGGAAGTCTGCATCCCCATCAGTTGTAGGGTCAAACTACTGTTTATTTGGAGAATTGGCAAATTAGTGTTAGGCATATGAATTGCGAGTCTCTGACAGAATGATACTTGAACCTTTTTTTTTTTTTTTTTTTTTGCGGGCCATCTGATACCTAGCAATTCAGGGATGGTTACAGCTTAAGCGAACACAATTAATTCAAGCCATGAAACTTTGAATCTACCAGAGCTCCAACAGCTGTTTACTGTTCTAGGCCTGGTACCCAACATCCATAGAAGCTTCAGAAATTTCCGACTGTCAGAGGCCCGAGAGCTAGGACTGACTGACGAGCCTTGGGTATTCCTTTCACAATGATGGTGATGACAATAGAAACAGATCAGGTACTAATCCACATGCTACACATACTTAATACAGGAACTCCCGATCTATTAACAAAGATAACCTCAACTTATAATTACTCTGTTTCAGAAATGGCTGCCAACTCTTGGTGAAGCCATCACCCTGGTAGGCCTGCATCCGCTCCCTTAGGAACTGTGAAACTGTGGAGCTGAGGCATTGTCAAGTTGTCTCCTTCACCTTCCACAACTTGGACAGCAATTTTCATGGACGACGATCTGCTGGGTTCCACTGAATGCACAGCAGTCGAACAATTGCTATTTCCTTTGCAATTTTAGCATCTTTTTCATCCTCCATATGGAAATTGTTCGTTAGTTATTCGAGCTGCATCTAAATGAAATAGAAATGGCCCGATTAGCCCATCAAATTCATTAGTGATTCGAGCTGTATCTAAAAGAAATTGTTCCAAGCCAGGGAACTACAAATGCGAGAGCCCAGATAGCTCTTACTATTCTAGACTTGGTACCAGACAACCATGGAAGTTTTAGGTAGATTTTTGACTCTGTACTACGACCGATTATGGATGGGATCTTAAGTAATCATGCTGCCAAACTGAACAGTTTTTGCTGCTTCTATTTCTTTTCAGGTAGGAAGTGGTAGTATGAAGTTAAAATCTGGCATGGCAGCCAGAGTTTGAAAGCTCTTTGGTGACTTATCATCAGAAAAGTTTGTCCTCTTGATAATTCAATATATGCATCTGAAATTGACAATGCATTAGTTTGAAGCATGGGAAAACCTAATTTTTCAGTTCTTTATTCCAGTGTACTTTGTTTTTTTCTGAGCAACGTTGCCAATATGTAAGAAGCAGTACGATTACTCTGACCAATAGTCTATTCTGCAGTTTGCCTGCATAGTGACATAATCTTAACTCCATAATCAGTCCAGGTGTATTTATAAAGGTTCTGCCGTTTGGGCAATACATTTTAAAAGCAGAAACTTGAAAGTAATTAAGATGTTATCACCACATTCAGAATTACATTCAGGCTAATCTACTCATGAAGGTGAATTGAGAGGGAAAAAAAACTACAAGTGCTAAACCACACCTTGTACATAATCCATGAAGCTAATTCACTGGTCACAACACTTCACTGTATATTACTGCCTAATTTGTTGTTGCTGAAAATGTAAATTTCTTATCACTCTAATTCTGTGATGGCTTCCAACTCTCGGTGAAAAAGTCTTGTTGGCATACCTGCATTCGTTGTCTTACGAACTGTGGAGCTAAAAGGATCAGGAGGCTTTGTTAAGTTGTCTCCTTCCCCTTCAAGCATTTAGACAACAGTTTTCATGGAAGGACGCTCTGCTGGGTTCCACTGAATGCACCACCGTCCCACTATTGCTAGTTTCTTTGCAATTTTAGCATTTTCTTCTCCATCAATATGAAACCGCAAGTCCTCTCCTTCTTCTAAGAGATTATAAATCCATTCTGGGAAGTATATCTGGTCACCATTTTCTGCTGTATCATCGACGCTCTTCCTTCCTCCGACCATTTCCAACATTAACATACCAAAGCTATATACATCTGATTTATAGGACACGTTCCCAAAGTTCCTTGAGAACACTTCCGGGGCAATGTAGCCAATAGTCCCCCTAGCAGTCGTCATGGAAATAGCACTTTTATCCTTGGAACACAACTTAGCCATACCAAAATCAGCGACTTTGGGATTAAGTCATTGTCAAGCAGGACATTATGTGGTTTGATATCAAAATGGAGGATTCTTTGATCACACCCCTGGTGAAGATATTCAATCCCTTTGGCTATGCCCAAAGCAACATGATTCAACCTTTCCCAGCCAAGGAAATGGTTCCTTGAATCTGCTGAAGAAATTAACTTCTGTAGTGAATCATTCGGCAAGTACTCGTAAACTAGAGCTCGTCTAAATCCATCAGCACAGAAACCGATCAAGCGAACCACATTGACGTGGTGAATTCCAGCCATTGTTCCCACTTCGTTGACGAATTCCTCCCCATTTCCTGTGGAATTGTTGAGGAGCTTGACAGCTACACCAAGTTCATTGGTTAGCTTTCCTTTAAACACAGTCCCATAAGCTCCTTGGCCCAGTTCATCCCGGAATTGATTTGTGATCCTCTTGAGATCAGCATAGGAGTATCTAGTGAGTTTCAGAGATCTGTAATCATCCAAAAACATTTCAACCTTGTCTTGATATTCTCTTTCTAATTTATCATTACTATATGCTTGGTAGAGACAAACGATCACTGTTGCAAAGAAAAAAGAATCCTATGATTACACCTGCATAAAAACATTCTAAGTCAGGGAACTCATCTTGTTTTTGGAAGTAATATATTGAACCAAGTGTAAAATTGAGATCAAGCAAACTACTAACCAGCAACCAATAGCTTTCTCCCCGCAACTGTAAAAGAAGTTATATCTATTAGTTTCTCATCCTCAGGAAATTGGTAAAATCATGAAAGCAACAAGGAAAAGAATTTCTACTGCTGTGTGATTTATACTGTAATACAAGAACGTAGACATGAATTCCGAATATTCATCGTTTTATTGTCACAGCAATGAATAAGAATCCAAGAAATCAATTTGAACAAAGCATGAAACATAAGAAAAAATAAAAAATAAAAAGAGGTGAAAGCGTTGAAATATACCATAAGAAATCAAAATTGCTACCTTTAGTTTGCTTGTGAATGTTGGTGTTGTAGCATTCAGTTTCCGAAGATCCACAATTTGGATTGGTCCAAGACAAAGGTAGTAAATAATTTTCTTGCTCTAACATATCCCATGGAATTGAAAAAACGTTGTACATCTTCGTACAAGATAATAAATAAGAATCACTAATGGCATCGCTTGATCCAAAGACATAAACTTCATGGTGATAAGTACTCAGACATGGGATTTTAAGTAGGTATGTAAATCTTTCCTCACTAAAAGAACAATTGAATAAGGTCTGATTAGACAGCTTATAATTACTCTTAATTTGGAAGTGAGATTCAGATAAACTGAAGTTTAAACGTTGCCTTAGATAGCAACCTTGAGGATCCGTTGCATAAATAACTTGATAGATATAGTCGATTCTTTCAATGTGGAGTTTCACTCCAGTTGGCAGCTCAAGCACTGTATCATTGCCCTCTGAGCAGGATAGATCAAACCCAGGATAGCCACAGTGGTCTGCTTGCCTGTCCTTGATTCGGAAAGGAAATCGGATGCAGGGCCATGCTCCCCACAAGATCCTATGCAACCCAAGCTTGCTCCATGGCCTGCAAGGAATAAAACGAACAAGAAATAGAACAAACATGTAACCATTTCTGATGAATAACTCACCATCTCCTCAGTGCTCCTCTTAAGATTTATCTTTATCCTATAGGTATATTCTGATATAGTCTTGGCCTTTTAGCATACTCCGTATTTCATTGGCAATACCGAACAATCTCTCTACTTCCAATAAGTTATTGTACTTCGTTTTCAATGGTTCTTTGTCACGGACAAGAAGAAAATTATTGTATTCCTATGACTTTGACATTTCCAAGGAAGGCCGGGTAGAAAATTTCCTCCTTCACCTTCCATCGCCTTATCACAAGCTTCCACTCCGAAATTCAAAAGCTCATCAAGGAAAAAAAAAACTTCCGTCTCTTAAAGTTTTGTCCAATGGTTTGGGTTTGGGGTACTCTTATGGGAAGAACTAACACTGCTTCACCCACTGAGCACAAATCAGAGGCAAAAGCTTTTCCAGGATTTGCTGTTGGACCGCTTTCGAGACCTGAAGAAAAGTTTGCGCGAAAACTGTACATGTGTGTGTCTCTTCAGCTTTCTTCATGTTTAGAGGAAACCTTCTCTTTGCTTGCTACATAGCCTTTCTTTTCCAGCTGTGTGCCTTCCAAACTTGCCATTCTAGTAACATCTCTCGCTCTTTGTGCACCTTCTTCATGTGGCAATATCCAGAACATTAGCTACCCTTTTCGACTAGACACCGATCCAAAAAGCTGCGGAGACAATAATTATACCCTAATCTGCGAGAAAAATACTTCTACAGGATTATATTTGTATTCGAGTAAATACTACGTGCGGGCGATTGACTATGTTAACTTCACGATCCGAGTGGTAGACGCCGGTGTACAAGGTAATTGCTCCTCGTTACCTCGTTATTCTTTGGACCCTCATAAATTCCGTTATGGAGATCCATACGCATGGTATAGCTACAAGTGGACGGTGCCACCAAGAGTAATTCAACGTTTTTTCTACAACAATATTGAGAGCAAATGGTCGCCTCCAACACTATTACGACCTATGATTTTCATGAGTCGTGAAAATCCAGATGAATTCCTCTCTTTATGTAGACACGACTCCGTGCAGCCTTAACTATGGATCGGTGAATCATTCCAACTCTTCTCTAGTATCGAGTAATTATAATTATGTGACTCTTGGGGGCATGAATGCCTCGGATTTGATGGAACCGTGCAGCATAGAGAAGATACTTCGCTTCCGAAGATTGATTACGGGAACATGTCTTTTAAAGAAATTCACGGAGAACTACCGGCGTAGGGGTTTGAGCTTTCATGGTTCAACGACCACTTGTAAATATTGCACAAGAGGTTACTACCTCGACAAGTGCGAACCGTCTTCAATGCATTGACCGCTGTAAGTAATAATTGATGATTAAATTGCATTAGTATTTTCTTCTATTTATATCTATATATATTCATTCCGTGGATAGAAACTTTGAAGAATTCATGGTTCCGGACTTGAATCTCCTAGGATGGAACCTTTAAGGTTACTTGGACTGAATCATTAATGTATTTTGCAATTTGAGGTTTTACAGAGTGGAACTTATGCTTCATCTTAATTTGACCATGGATATACATAAGATATGAATGAGCCCAAATCATATAAATTACTTATAGTTATCTATTTTCTTTCATTTTTCACTACCGTGTATTTGGTCCTTCTTCTCAATTAACGCCCTCGTTTTATACCATTTTTAACTCTTTTTTAACCTAAATTTTGGGACATGATTTCAAGGGTTTATACGGGTTTTGGATTCCTCTACTCAATCGGGTGATAAGTGCGAATTCTCTATCCGCATCTCACCATGTTTGTGTATTTCTTCAAACAACATATATATTTGTGAAACCCTTCTTCGGAAGGATTGCACAACTAGTTGTTTCTTGCATAGTAATTCTAATTTTGTTCACCATTTTCTGCAGCGTTGCTCTACTATATTGCCCTTTCGCGAGTAAGAACTTCTTTATTTCTTTAGTTTTGAAACATAGTTCAACACCGGAGACACCGTAATACCCATAAGCCCATGTAAGTAAATAAGAGAGGGTTTTTAAATGAGGGGTATTAGGGTAATTTAAAAGCAAAGAAAATAAAGAAATAAAGGAAAGATTGGCAGAAACCAGAAAAGAAACAAAAGAAAAACGGGAAAGGGGAGGAGAGAAAGAAAAAGAAGAAAGGAAAGAGAGGAGAAGGAAGGAGAGGAAGAAGAAGACTCGCCGGTGACCACCCACTCCGGCGACAGCTCCGGCGACGGCAGTGGTGGAGTGACTCGGGTAAGGAGAAGAAAAATGAGGGTAAAAAAGAGGTGAAATAAGGAAGAAGGAAAAAGATTTATTAAGTGAGTTTTGGATTTTTTTTTTGAATGTTTTAGTTAATTATAACCTTAATTAGGATGGGTTATAGGTAATTTAGTAAATTTTATTTTTGAATTAAGAATTTGAATTAGGGATTAGGTTTAATTAAAATTAGGGTTTATGTTAGTTTAGGAAATTTGGGGAAAGTGAGTGAATGGGTTAATTAGGGTCCAATTAAGCTTGAATTTCAATTTATTAGTGTTTAATTATTGTTATTATTGATGAATGCAAATTTATGATGATAGAGGTAAGAGAAGATTTGGTGGAAGAAGTCGCTTAAAGAAGAGGCAATTATAATTTGGGGGTGTTCCTTTAGATTAGAGGTAAGTATAACACCTATTATGAGTCTTTACTATCATATATGTCTATATTGATTGTGAGGTGAAAATCGATTGTTTGGATAAATGCTTAATTATTAAAATAATAATAATAATAATAATAATAATTGCATGTGAATTGAATTATTTTAGTATAGATGAATTGAATTGGTATGTTGCCGTATGAATTATGGTTATTAAAGGAATATTGATACATTGAATGGTATATGTGCATGTTGATATGATGATCACTTGCATTAAATGGAATTGTATGATTGCTATGTGTTGAATGATAATAATGAGATTGATGACTTGAAAGAAGTCTATGCGGGACTAACTAAGCTAACGGGGTTATAGTTAGCCTAGGTGCACCTAGTATTTGCCGGCTAGGGAATGGCCGCGAGTGCTTCCCTCGTAGTTTACCCCGCGGGGGCTAGAGTTTACGATTACCCTTGCGAGGGCCATAGTTACCCTTTTGAGGGCCAAAGGAATAGACGATTCTCGCATAGAGTGATTTCAAGAAATTGTTATGCTATTATTAATTGTTAAGAAAGAAAGAAAAAGAAAAATGTTATTGATTGTTTGCTTGGTTGCAAATCATGTATGATATGTGCATTGGCATAATTGTATGTATAGCGATTTATAATATGTGTTATGCTTACCGAGTTTTGAAAACTCACCCCCCAACCTCAAATATTTTATAGATAATACGTAAGCTAGATCATAGAAGGAGGGCGATAGATTTTCTGGATTTGAAGGTACTACCCGGATATTATTTTGCTTCCTCCGGGTATAGGACATGGTTGTTTTAAATTTGTATTCATTGTCCATTTTGGAATTGTAATTAGTCATTATGTATTTTATTTCATTTAGTTGCTCCACTGGTAGCATCACCAAATCCAGGGATAGCTAGTTAAGGGTCTCCATATTTTGTATCTAGATGGTTAAATGGTGATTTATAAATTTGGTTATGTTCAATATTGAATTATGTGTATTTTTGTCAATTTAGTAAATATTGAGATTTATGAGGAAGTGTGGATGTCCAATGGAGGGACTCGAGGATGATTGAGAATTGGTGAAGATGATTTAGAAGTGTACATCTATTGTGATTTTTATGCGGGATATATTATTTTTGGGATCGTCTAATTATAGGGGAAATGCTCGTCGAAATTTCGTAGGAAATAGAGAAAGGATTAAGGCTTACGTAGCCTATGGTGGGTCACCCCACCCCGGTTACGTGCCGATCGCGACTCGCCGGTTCGGGTCGTGACAAAGTTGGTATCGGAGCAATGGTTTAGGCTTGGTAGATATGTTTTAAGGTTGAACTAGTAAGTAAGTTATAGGATAATCCTTTGGTTTTACACCGCGGAGCTATAGGTAGTTATAGGTTTCCAAATTATCTTTGAGTTATTCATTGCATCTTAGTTTCGCGTTACGCTTTTTATTATATCGAGTTAAGTATACCGTGTATTTGTTATAAAAATGATATTGATTAGAACTCTTTTGTTACTAGATGGCGAGGACTAGAGGCGGTAGAGGTAGCGAGGGTGGAAGGACCCCTAATGTAGGTCGTGGTAGGGCCGCCGCAGCCCCACGTACAGCACTGGCCTAGCTATCCCACATGTTACATGGGGTAGCAAGCGTAGTAGACGAGATTTTATGACGGACGAGAGAGAGGTAGAGGAGGAAAGAGTGACTGGGTCCGCAACCACTATAGGTGCACGGGATGTTGCCCAAAACTTGAACTTATTAACGCAGATTGTTGCACGGCATGAGAGGCTACATGCACAAACGAGGATGGCACCATCCTCTTCACATGCTAATGAGGATGGAGTGCCATTATCCGAGTTCTTGAAACTTAAGCCGCCGGGGTTTGAAGGAAAACTCGATGAGGATCCTCATTTGTTTCTAGAGGAGATAGATGCAAGGTGTAAGGCATTGGGTTGTGATTCTCGGAAGGCGATGCGAGATAGTAGAGTTCGTTTGATCGGGACGACCAAACGCCGGTTTAAGATCGAGGGATTTTCCAATTGGATTTGGGAGGATTTTAGTAAGGCTTTCATGGATAGATTTCCGCGAGAGTGTTAGGCGACGGCGGGCATTTGAGTTTGAGAGATTGAGACAAGATGCTTCCATGACCGTCACCGAATATGATGCACAATTTATGGAGTTGAGTCGGTATGCTCCTTACCTAGTCGGCACGGAGGAGCTAAAGATGTCTCGATTTATAGGTGGTTTAGTGCCACGACTTCGTGCACTTTTGATTGCTGCAAGGGTGAACACCTATGCGAGAGGCCGTGGAGTGTGCCCGATTAATAGAGTTATCTAGGGTGGATCGCCCGGAAGAGCGGAGTCCTCGACCTAAAAGGAGTAGAGGTGAGGGGCGGTCCGGTGGCCATCGGGGTCGAGGCGAGTGGACTTGGTGGACTTAGTAGGGGTTTAGGCCATCGGGGCCAAATGGGCCAACGGGGCTTACGGAGGGGATACCACCGGAGGCTTGGAACGTCCGTGGGTAAGAGTCGGGGATCTATGAGCTACGGCACGACGGGGCTTAACTCGGGCGAGCCGGAATACTCGCATTCCTCCTCGGTCCGGGCAAAATGCTCGCACTCCTTCTCATTGTCCAACTTGTAACAAGATGCATTGGGGCCAATGTAGGGTTGGACGAGTCCGGATGTTATCGTTGTGGGCAAGAGGGCCATTTTGCTAGAGAATGTCCGTCCTTTTTATCACAGGGACGTGCACCTACTTTATCCGGTCGGAGTTATGTTGTCGATCGGACCGATGGGGTCGGTGGACGAGGTTTAGCGAGTAGAGGTTACGGTGGTGGAGGACCGATGCAATTTGGTAGAGGTCGGTCTCGGACGTGTAGAGGTCGATTGCGGATCGGTAGAGGTCGGGGTGTAGGGACAAGAGATCGGGGTTTTGCGGGGCGTGGATAAGCTAGGGTGTATGCCTTAACTAGACAAGATGCGTAGGCTTCTAATGCGGTGGTGTCGGGTATACTTCCTATTGATTCTTTTGATGCACGGGTATTATTTGACACCGGGGCTACTCACTCATTTATATCCCCATTCTTAGCCAAGAGGTTGGGTAAACGATCGGAGAGATTAGATGAGTCCTTAGTAGTGTCTACTCCAGCAGGAGAGGGTGTAGAGGTAAATTTGGTGTATCGGTCTTGCAAGGTTAAGGTAGGAGATAGAGATCTTCCAGTGGATCTTTTATTGTTTAAGTTGGTGGATTTTGATGTAATATTGGGAATGGACTGGTTGTCTCAATATCATGCATCTCTTGACCGTAATAGGAAGATAGTGAACTTTAACATGCCGGATGAGTCGGACTTCCGGTTTCGGGGAGACGAAGTTTAGCTCCATATAACCTTGTGTCAATACTTAGTGCTAGGCGTATG